CGCAGCAGAAGTCACCTCTCCATTGCAGCTGCGGCAAGAATGCGTCCAGGACCCGGAACACTCCGCTTCAGTCGTATCACACTCACAGGCATTTGTGGACGAATCATAGCATCCCCAGTTTCTTTGGGTCTCCGCTTCCGCGTCACTGTATGTGCAGTTGTCCGCCGGATCCTTGCAGGACGCCCTGCAGTGGCAGCACCCACTCCGCGGGGAGACATAGCCCGGTGCATACCACATGTTCGGTGACGAGCACGATGTCGCAGGAACATCGCAGCTGATTGCGTGAGATGTCATGTCGTAGCAAGAGCCTTGTGAGGCACAGGAAGTGCATCCAGATGTCCATGTGTGGCCTGCGCCTTTGGCTGTGCACCCTGCTTCCGACACAAGACAATCGCACTGGCGGGCAGCATGCTCATAGCAACCCCAGTTCTCCTCGATCGGAACTCACAAAACTCAGTCATCTGGGCGCTTATGAGGGCTTGTGGCTGGCTAATGGCTTCTATGCACTCTCGGCATTGCGCTTCTTGGGCGGTGGGCAGTCCTCCGTCTCTGCTTCCGCGTCACTGTATGTGCAGTTGTCCGCCGGATCCTTGCAGGACGCCCTGCAGTGGCAGCACCCACTCCGCGGGGAGACGTAGCCCGGTGCATACCACATGTTCGGTGACGAGCACGATGTCGCAGGAACATCGCAGCTGATTGCGTGAGATGTCATGTCGTAGCAAGAGCCTTGTGAGGCACAGGAAGTGCATCCAGATGTCCATGTGTGGCCTGCGCCTTTGGCTGTGCACCCTGCTTCCGACACAAGACAATCGCACTGGCGGGCAGCATGCTCATAGCAACCCCAGTTCTCCTCCATGCTTCAGGATGACTGCAACATCAACCATACCACGCTACACTTTGGTGCACGACTTGTACTACAGGTCGACATCTGCTACTGTTTCTTCGTGATACGCTCGATGCAAACCCTTACCGGGACAATCGAGGGCAACTTTTCAACAATTGCTGGACTCATCCACCCGCTAACTTCCGAGGCATGTCGATGTGAAGCTTCGATGAGCTTTGGGTGATGCTCGGGTTGTTGGGTGCCGAGCTGTCCTGAGGGTCCTCCACTGTATCGTAGTAGGTGCAGTTCCCCGATGTGTTGGCACAGGATGCCTCGCAATGGCAGCAGCCACTGCGCGGGGAGACGTAGCCGGGACCGTACCACATGTGCGGAGACGAGCAGTCGACCTCTGCCATATTGCAGGACACTGCGTGCGTCGTCCTCGAATTTTGAAAGGCGGAGGCCTACAACAAACTGACTACCGTTGCGATGTCTTGCCAGAAAAGCCCAAAACCTTCAAAGTCGCGGCAACTATCGTGAGGATGAGTGGCATGTTGTAACAGGACCCGGCGGACGTGGTCCCAGTTCCGTCCGCGGCAGCCACGATTGCCAAAAGGACCTCAAAGCCCGGGTGGCCCATGTTTAGGGATTTAGGGTTTTGGATTTAGGGTTTCCCCTAGGGTTTAGGGTCTAGGGTCTAGGGTGTGCTCGACAACCCAAGGCTTTCTGCAAAGCCATGAACCCGGCCTCAAGCATGCTTTCTTTTTGGTTGCAGTATGGCCTGAGCCCGACGATTGAAGCATAACCCACAATTGGAAGTCTCCTGAACAAAAACCCTTTCCTCGTGGACTCTGAATGCCCTGACCCGAAACCTCCAGAACTTTTGAAGCCGAACATTTAGGCCGCGGGTGATGCACCCTCAACTCAAACCTTTTCGGACCCTAACACGGGAGTGTGGATGTGAATGACCACCTGAAGACCAGTAGCCAGTCCTGGCATTGTCGCCATGGCAACAGGAGCAGGTCTGTGCCGAAATCACGTGCTGGAGCAAAAATGCCTCCCGCCGTGATTAGAATTTCGTAGGAGCCGGGACGGCGCAATCTTGACGGACCGGCAGTCCTGCACCCGCAAAACCCTAAAGCTGTCGTTGAGGATAGGAGCCGAAGTCTCGTCTCTTCCGCCAATTGGTTTAGGGCCTGTTTAGGGCTTCGGCTTCCTTCTCTCCCTCCCAAACTTGTGGCATAGTCTGCTTCAGTGGAGTTATGCTGTCTA